GTTTTGATGTTGATTAATGTGCATTGTCCCTTTTCAAATAAATAAATAACAGGAAAAAAAAAAAAAAAGTGAGATTTTGGGGCCCACATCCTCCGCCTTAATAAAGACACACAATATTTGACAACAGATTCAGAATCTGTGACCAAGAATCTACAATAAAAATGTCCAGCTTCAGATTCTGAATCTGTTGTCAAATATTGTGTGTCTTTATTAAAGGTTGTATGGAGGATTTAAAAATATATTTTTTCAAATTGTCAATGAAAGTTAGAAAATAGAATTATAAAGAAGAAGCAGCCTTGTAATTATGACCAAAAAAAAAAAACAAACAAAGAATGAAAATCCATCAACTGTGGATGTAGTGAGGGCAGATAAACATCAGCCAATAGATAACAAGGCTACCTCTTTACCTATTGGCTGTTAGGTTGTCAATCAAATTCCCTACGTTTCTAGCGTCGCTGACTTGCCGACGCGCTGGGATTGTGTGGTTTATGTTCGCGGTTCATGTTTAGCGGTTCTTGGCGTCTTTTTTGAACTGTAGCTCTCAGTTTGCACAAATTTTGTTTTAATTGCAAAGAAGAATTCACGACCGGTTCGCCGCAAAAGAAAGTCAGTTTTTGACGTTGCTGAAAGAAGAAGAGAAGGGAAAAGGTGCGAAGCGCAACATTTAAAAAAGGACAAACAGTCGCTGCATTTGTCTTTCCTTGGAAAATCTTCTATACAACCTTTAAGGGGGCGCTGTGGGTTTTGCTCAATTTTTTTTATTTTTATTTTTGAAGAACAAGATCTATTTACTCCAAGCAGATATTTACAAACTCACTGTTGAACCTGAATATTTGAGCGAACGACCATTTCTGACACAAATCTCACACTTTTCTGAGTTTTCATGTGGACGTGTCTCAAATATGTTCACAGACCAGATTTGAACGTTTGAGCCTCTGACAACAGATTTAGAATCTATGACCCAAAATCTACAATTATACAAATGTTCACTTTCCTAGTTCTATTTTTTTTATAAAGTTCTGGTTTCTCAAACATGTTTATAAATAAAGGTTTCAGAAAAAGTGAACATGACCTTAAAATTTCAACGAACCATAACTCAGGAACGACTCACGGGATTGAGCGAAAATTTGAGATTCTTTCATTTGGTGATTTTAGAAATTTTTTGAATTTTTTTCAGCCAAATCTGCGCTGGCTCAGGGGGGAGGGCGGCTGATTTCATCTGGACTGATCGTCTGTGGAGACGAGCGCGGTGACAAACGACCAGAGCACTTTAGAAAGTTTAAAGTGGAGACCAAGTTTATGTTTTATTTATTTTTGTATAAATCATTATGTTACGACAGAGAATAAGGGACAGATGAAAAAATAATAATTCTGGCGCTACAAGAATAAAATCGTAACATTTTGACATTAAAGTCGTAATTTTATGAGAATAAAGTGTCAAAATAAAGTGTTAATATCAGGAGAATATCTGCGGCTCGTGGAGAATTTGGAGCATTTTGTAAAGGAGAAGAATCTGTGGATCATTCGTTCATTCGACTGAACAAGGACTGAATCAGGACTAAACCAGGTCCGGAACCAAACCAGAAAGACCAGGATTGAGGCCGGGGCCAGACCAGGACTGAAAACGGTTTAGTCCTGGTTTAGTCCTGGTTTAGTCCTGGTTTAAGTCACGGAAATGGGAAATGGTGTTTCCGTGACTTTAAAATGCGATGAGGGACTAATGCGCCGCATACGGACTGAACCAGGACTAAACCAGGACTAAACCAGGACTAAACCAGGACTGAACCAGGACTGAACCAGGACTAAACTGTTTTTAGTTCTGGTCTGGTCCCGGTCTCAGTCCCAGTCTCAGTCTCTGGTCCTGGTTTCCCGGTCTCAATCCTGGTCTCAGTTCTTGTCTGTCCCGGTCTCAGTCCAGTCTGTAGTCTTGTTCTGATCCTGGTCTCAGTCTGGTTAGTCCTGGTTTAGTCCCTGGTTTAGTCCTGGTTTAGTCCTGGTTTAGTTCCTGGTTTTAGTCCTGGTTCAGTCCTGGTTTAGTCCTGGTTCAGTCTGGAGGCGCAAATAATGAAGAAAATCGTTGTTCGTTTTCTTATTTTTGGTTTTATATTGAAAAACAAGGTTTTTCTTCTGCTGCATTTTTCACTTTGACTTTGATTTTATTACGACTTTATTCTCATAATATTACGACTTTAATGTCAAAATGTTACGACTTTATTCTCGTAGCGCCAGCATCTTTTTTTTTTTACTGACCCTTATACTCCGTGGTAGAAAGTTTATAAAAATGCTGTGAGGTTGTGTGTGAGTTTGACTGGGACGAGCTCGTGTCGTCCTCACACGTCGTTGTCAACATGTTGTTGTGCTGGTGACTCGACAGTGTCACACTCGGCTCTAATTATAATGTTTAAAAACTGTTTCTTTGAGTTGGCAAAACTCACGGAGCAAAGGATCATGGTCTGTGTAGTTTCTGTTTTTCAGCCTGCTGCATTTAGTCAAAGAAACTTATGAAAATAAAATGAAATGTGAATGTACAAGACCAAATGTGGGGCCTTGTTTATGTCATTTTCCTGATCTTACTGAAGTGGTGCGCATTTTTTCACTCTGTAATATCAAAATAATCCTCATTTGCTCGCAGAAGTTTACTATGAAATCCTATTTTAAATATTTTTTTCTTGTTCAAACTGTCAAACTCAAATTCACATTGGGCCAAAATTACGAACTGGGACTAAGTCGTGGGCCAAACTAAATATTTATTGAAACAATGTCAGCAACATCTGCATGTTTTCTCTTCTTTCAAGATCTGTAATGTTCATGTTTTCTTATTAAAATAAATGTTTAATAATAGTTTTGCTTAAACACTGAATCCAGAACAAAGAGAATATAAAATAATAACATTTTAAATAAATCATAAGTCCATATGAAATCAGCTGTTTTCAGGTAACCTCCCCAGTGAGTCGTCTCAGATTTGGCTGAAAAAAAATCTAAAATGACCAAATGAAAGAATCTAAAAAAGTGGTTCCTGAGTTATGGCCCTTTGAAATTTTGGGGCCATGCAAAGTTTTTCAGAAACCTTAATTTATAAATATGTTTGAGAGACCAGAACTTCATAAAAAATAGAACTAGGAAGCTGAAAATGTTTATTGTAGATTTTGGGTCATAGGTTCTGAATCTTTTGTCAAGGGGCCAAAATTAAAATAAATGTTTATTAATAGTTTTGCTTAAACATTGAATCCAGAACAAACAGAATATGAAATAATAACAACATTTTAAATAAATAATGTCTATAGTACAAAGTGGGGAAAAAAACTGAGGCACTCAAAAAGTACAAAATAATTAAAAGCCTTTAATAGCACATGGCAGATAAAGTTAACTGTTACAGAGAGAAACCGACTGGATCTAGTCTCTCTAGGCCACACAGTCTCCAGGACTCAGTGGAGAGTTAGATTTCTCCCCCTTCCTTTAAAACTACAAGCTTTAAATGTGTAATCGATCCTTGTTCTATATCCCTGTCTTCTTGAAATTATTTAAGACTAGAACTTAACTATATTATACAAACTATAGCTGAAGCACTTTTGAGTTATCGCACTCTATATATATATATATATATATATATATATCCTTACACTATGTATCTTTTTATACTTTTATACTATTTTCATATAATGTATCTATCTATGTATTGGTTGTTGGGATTTGCACCATTTATGTCTTGTATTATTGTATTTGAATTTGTTTAGCCTATAAAGGTTTGTTAGGCCTACATGTCCCATCATGCACCAGGGGACTGTGAACATGTGACCTGCACCTATTACTTTAAATCTGCTCTGTGATAAACATCTGGAGTTTGTCCTGATGAAGCCGAAGGGCCGAAACGCGTTGGCGTATTTTAACTTTATCTGCCATGTGCTATTAAAGGCTTTTAATTATTTTGTACTTTTTGAGTGCCTCAGTTTTTTTCCCACTTTGTATTTGAGATGCTCCCTACACTGAAGACACCAAAAGGACAATTCTGCACATTTTTTGCATATCCAAGTAGCTCTCCTGCCTCCAAAGCCTTGCAATGTCTACAGTATATTTGTGTGCGGCGGGAAGCTCTAATACAGATCTGATTATATCGAGGGCCGAATTTGGCCCCTGGGCCTGAGTTTGACATGTCTGTCCTAGAGCATCTGTAGCTGTTGATTTGGGAAGAAATATGAATTATTTTCTTACCTGTCATGAACATAATCAGTAAACAGCACAACATGAGAAGCTCAGAAAACTACAGAGTTTGAGATCACATCATTTTTTTGCGTGTGTAATTAATACAGTATATATAATTTAAAAAAAAGTGTACTTTTTAAGTGTGAAGAATCCCTCAGTCGTCCAGGTAGAATTCACAGCAAGGATAAAATTCAGTTTGTCGACTGGACTAAAGTTAGTTTGGTTGAAGACGTTTCGCAGCTCATCCACGTCGGAACTGAAGCAGCAGCTTGGATGAGCTGCGACACGTCTTCAACCAAACTAACTTCTTAAATATATATGTGTATAGATTAACTAACTTAGTGTCATAAACTGTACAATTCAGGGGACTTTCCAGCTGATTTCAGATCGATCTGTGTTGTTCTGAGTCCTGCACTTTATCATCTGGGACGACTCGCCCCAAAACGACAACAGAGAAACAAGCTGAAAACTCTAACTTTACTTAAATACATTTGAGAGAAAAGACCCCTGTCCAAAAGCTCAAAGCTCCTCCCTCTGCACGTTTAACACAAACAAAATCATCTGGTTTTTCTGCTAAAATAGAAGTTTTTCTGTTTGTTTTGGTTTGTTTGGCTCCGCCCCAATCCTCAGCGCCGCTCTGTGATTGGTCCGTCTCGGTTTACCCCACAGCGGACGCGCTCAAAAGGTGGATTCTCGTGAGTTTGTGAATCCGTCTCTGCCAGAGTTGACTTTGTTACGGTTTTATTTTTATTTCTTTTGTGTTTTGTAAAAGTAAATCAAGTGTGTTTTTGTGTGTGCAGTTTCCGACGCGGACGGCAGTGAAGGAGGATTCCAGCTGAAGAAGGAACATGCGCTACGAGTCCTGGGCTACATCAGCTCCTGGACGCAAAGGTACTTTTAAAACTCAAGTATTTTTATCCAACTTTATTTGAAAAACTATTTAAAAAGGATCTGTAGTACTTCATAGGACTGTCAAAGTATTAAAAATGAGATCTTAATCGAGAATAAAACTAGTATCGAAACTTAGATCCTCATTTTTCGCAGGTATCGAGACTAAAAATGAACTTTTCCTGAATGTGTTTTGATCGATCTGGAACAAGTTTAAGACACAGAGACAAATATAACCTGTGTGTCGTTTGTTCATTTGTTTTTCAAAATAAAACCAAAAATAAGAAAATTAAAAAAAAAAACTACTATTTTCTTCATTTTTTGTGTCCAAAACCAAAATGAAAAAACAGATAATGATTAGTTTTTTCAGTTTTTGATTTTGTGTTTAAATGAAAAATGGAAAAAACGGATAACGGACTAAACCAGGACTAAACTAGAACTAAACCAGGACTGAACCAGGACTGAACCAGGACTAAACCAGGACTGAACCAGGAATAAACCAGGACCAAACGAGGACCAAAAGAGGACTAAACCAGGACTAAAATAGGACTAAGCCAGGACTAAACCAAGACTAAACCAGGACTGATCCAGGACTAAACCAGGACCGAACGAGGACTAAACCAGGACTAAAATAGGACTAAAATAGGACTAAGCCAGGACTAAGCCAGGACTAAGCCAGGACTAAGCCAGGACTAAACCAGGACTAAACCAGGACTAAACCAGGACTAAACCAGGACTAAACCAGGACTAAACCAGGTCTAAACCAGGACCGAACGAGGACCGAACTAGATCTAAACGAATCATTATCAGTTTTTTTTTTTTTTTTTCATTTTGGTCTTGGAGACAAATAATGAAGAAAATGTTTTTTTTTTTTTTTTTTTTATTTTATTTTGAAAAACAACTGAATGAATGACAGATTTATCTTACGCCTCTGGACCTTCTGGAACCTCCTGGACTTTCAGTCTCACAACATCAGGACCAGGTTCATCGAGTTAATTCCCGTTTTTAATCCCGTCTTTTTTTGTTTTTCGTTTTTAGACAATGTTTGTGCTGTTTCAAAGAGTACAAGCACTTGGAGGTGTTTAATCAGCTGGTGTACGCGCTCATCAACCTGGTCATCGCTCAGATCAGCAGCCTCCGGGACCGGCTCTGCTCCTTCGGCGGGGCCCCGGCTCCCAAGGGCCCGGGCTGGACCGGCGGGGGCTCCGTGTCCCCGCCCAGGCCCTCGTCCCCGGGCGAGGACGAGCATGTGAACGTGGAGAGAGACTCGGCCGAAGAGGATGAACCCAGCGCGCACGACAAAGGTACAGCGCACGAGTGAAAGTGAAAGTGAAAGTGAAAGTAACAGTCTTAACGCTCACGAGAGTCAGTTTTGAGTCATATGGGACCTTTAAGTCGTGTTCTAACGCCGCTTCATCCTCAAACACAGACCTGGAGTTGTGTTCTGTTTCATTCACACGTTTGAGTGACTCTTCAAAGCCCAAAATGCTCAGTTCCACCTCGTGATGTCATGAAGTGGTAGTTTTCAAGTGGACAGCTCCTTTTTAACTTTAGTTCAGTCGAGATTGAGAATTTCAGAGGCTGAAATGATCCAAATGATAAACCAGGACTAAACCAGGTCTAAACCTGGACTACACCAGGACTAAACCAGCACTAAACCTGGTTTAGTCCTGGTTTAGTCCTGGTTTAGTCCTGGTTCAGTCCTGGTTCAGTCCTGGTTTAGACCCGGTTTAGACCCGGTTTAGTCCCGGTTTAGACCCGGTTTAGTCCTGGTCCTGTAGTCCTGGTTTAGTCCTGGTTTAGACCTGGTTTAGACCTGGTTTAGTCCTGGTTTAGACCTGGTTTAGTCCTGGTTTAGTCCTGGTTCAGTCCTGGTTTCAGTCCTGGTTTAGTCCTGGTTTAGTCCTGGTTTAGTCCTGGTTTAGTCCCTGGTTTAGACCGTTTAGTCCTGGTTTAGACCTGGTTTAGTCCTGGTTTAGTCCTGGTTTCAGTCCTGGTTAGTCCTGGTTCAGTCCTGGGTTTTAGTCCTGGTTTAGTCCTGGTTTAGTCCCTGGTTTAGTCCTGGTTTAGTCCTGGTTTAGTCCTGGTTTCAGTCCTGGTTCAGTCCTGGTTTAGACCTGGTTTAGTCCTGGTTCAGTCCTGGTTCAGTCCTGGTTCAGTTCTGGTTCAGTCCTGGTTTAGTCCTGGTTCAGTCCTGGTTTAGACCTGGTTTAGACCTGGTTTAGTCCTGGTTTAGTCCTGGTTTAGTCCTGGGTCCTTTAGTCCTGGTTTAGTCCTGGTTTAGTCCTGGTTTAGTCCCTGGTTTAGTCCTGGTTTAGTCTGGTTTAGTCCTGGTTTTAGTCCTGGTTTAGTCCTGGTTCAGTTCTGGTTCAGTTTAGTCCTGGTTTAGACCTGGTTTAGACCTGGTTTAGTTAGTCCTGGTTTAGTCCTGGTTTAGTCCTGGTTTAGTCCTGGTTCAGTCCTGGTTTAGAGTCCTGGTTTAGTCCTGGTTTTAGTCCTGGTTTAGTTCCTGGTTTAGTCCTGGTTTAGTCCTGGTTTAGACTGGTTTAGTCCTGGTTTAGTCCTGGTCCTGGTTAGTCCTGTTTAGTCCTGGTTCAGTCCTGGTTTAGACCTGTTTAGTCCTGTTTTTAGTCCTGGTTTAGTCCTGGTTTAGTCCTGGTTTAGTCCTGGTTCAGTCCTGTCCTGGTTTAGTCCTGGTTTTAGTTTTCCCCTGGTTTAGTCCTGGTTTAGTCCTGGTTTAGTCCTGGTTTAGTCCTGGTTTAGTCCTGGTTAGTCCTGGGTTTAGTCCTGGTTTAGTCCTGGTTTAGTCCTGGTTTAGTCCTGGTTTAGACCTGTTAGTCCTGGTTTAGTCCTGGTTCCTGGTTTAGTCTGTTTAGTCTGGTTTAGTCCTGGTTTAGTCCTGGTTTAGTCCTGGTTTAGTCCTGGTTTAGTCCTGGTTTAGTCCTGTTTAGTTTACCTGGTTTAGACCTGGTTTAGTGTTTAGTCCTGGTTAGTCCTGGTTTAGTCCTGGTTCTTTAGTTCTGGTTCAGTTCTGGTTTAGTCCTGGTTTAGACTGGTTTACCTGGTTTAGTCCTGGTTTAGTCCTGGTTTAGTCCTGGAGTCCTGGTTCAGTCCTGGTTAGTCCTGGTTTAGTCCTGGTTTAGTCCTGGTTTAGTCCTGGTTTAGTCCTGGTTTAGTCCTGGTTAGTCCTGGTTTAGTCCTGGTTCAGTCCTGGTTTAGACCTGGTTTAGTCCTGGTTTAGACCTGGTTTAGTCCTGGTTTAGTCCTGGTTTAGTCCCTGGTTAGTCCTGGTTTAGACCTGGTTTAGACCTGGTTTAGTCCTGGTTTAGTCCTGGTTTAGTCCTGGTTTAGTCTGGTTTAGACCTGGTTTAGTCCTGTTTAGTCCTGGTTTAGTCCTGGTTTAGTCCTGGTTAGTCCTGGTTTAGTAGTCCTGGTTTAGTCCTGGTTTAGTCCTGGTTTACCTGGTTTAGTCCTGGTTTAGTCCTGGTTTAGTCCTGGTTTAGTCCTGGTTTAGTCCTGGTTTAGTCCTGGTTTAGACCTGGTTTAGTCCTGGTTTAGTCCTGGTTTAGTCCTGGTTTAGTCCTGGTTTAGTCCTGGTTTAGTCCTGGTTTCCTGGTTTAGTGGTTAGTCCTGGTTTAGTCCTGGTTTAGACCTGGTTTAGTCCTGGTTTAGTCCTGGTTTAGTCCTGGGTTTAGTCCTGTTTAGTCCTGGTTTAGTCCTGGTTCAGTCCTGGTTTAGTCCTGGTTTAGTCCTGGTTTAGTCCTGGTTTAGTCCTGGTTCAGTCCTGGTTTAGTCCTGGTTTAGTCCTGGTTCAGTCCTGGTTTAGTCCTGGTTTTTCTCTGTGCAGTTGTGGAGAAGCTCCAGCCGCTCCAGGGGCAGGAGTCGTCGTGTGAAGCCCAGGCGGAGGTGCTGGACTGTGGGGAGAGTTCGTCGAAGGCGGGGGTGGAGTCTGGAGGAACAGACTCGGTGGAGATGTTCAGTTCGTGGAACACGGAGGAGAGAGAGAAACTTCTGCTCTGCGCCGCCAAAATCTTTCAAATCCAGTTTCCTCTTTACACGGCGTACAAACACAACACACACCCCACCATCGAGGTGAGAGCCGCCAGCACCGTCTTTATCTTTATCTTTATCTTTATTATGTTTTTGTTTTGATTAAATATGAGACGGTGCACATGAGTCTGCGTGTGTCAGGAGACTCATGTTCATCTTGAGTCTCGTTGGCAGGACGACGGCAAGACAGAAACAAAACAAACTGTCTCTCTCCCCCTGTCCAGCTACCTGTCTCTCTGTCTCTCTCTCTCTCTGTGTCTCTCTCTCTGTCTGTCTCTCTGTCTCTCTGTGTCTCTCTGTCTCTCTCTGTCTCTGTCTCTCTGTCTGTCTCTGTCTCTCTCTCTCTCTTTTTGTCTCTGTCTCTCTCTCTCTTTTTGCCTCTCTCTTTTTGTCTCTCTTTGTCTCTTTTTGTCTCTCTCTCTCTCTTTTTCTCTCTCTTTTTGTCTCTCTTTGTCTCTGTCTCTGTCTCTCTCTGTCTCTCTTTCTCTCTCTCTGTCTCTCTCTTTTTGTCTCTCTCTCTGTCTCTGTCTTTCTCTCTGTCTCTGTCTCTGTCTCTGTCTCTTGTAGTATTTTCAGGTTGTCAGGGAACTGTGCCAGTGTCGGTTCCTGCTCCTAATTTCGAACCGACTGACGTGTTCACACTGAAAATCAGAGCAAACAGGAAGTGGATTCCCAAACAGAATCATGTAAAACTTGTTTTTTTCCAAACGAATCGTGATGACACAGTCGACGTGAGCAGGTTCATCTGGACGTGAGCAGGTTCATCATCTGGACGTGAGCAGGTTCATCCTGGTCACATGTGGGAAAATACATAAATAAAATAAAGAGAGAAAACGTGTGTGTGGAACATGGAGGAGAAATCAAGAGACAGAACATCGTGCTGTGGTCTGAGGACGAGAACAAATATTTGCTGTATCCATGTTCGCCCGGTGAGATTCCATCTTTGGATTGGACGTCGCTGCCGCCTTCTCCTCGCCGGACGTTTGTCCTCGCCGGACGTTTGTCCTCGCCGGACGTTTGTCCTCGCCGGACGTTTGTCCTCGCCGGACGTTTGTCCTCGCCGGACGTTTGTCCTCGCCGGACGTTTGTCCTCGCCGGACGTTGTACTGTAGCTTGGCGCAGATAAATAATTGTTTGAGCACCAGCGCTCGCTGGTGTCTGCTGTGATCCATGATTGTTATTTTCTCGCTGTGACGTCCACGTGTGTTTGGTCTTGTTTTTATTTGGTGTTAAATTCTCAGCCTCTAATTGTGGATTTGAACTCGGGTCGTTCACCGTAAACACTTTGGTTCCTGTGTAACTGGTGCAGGAACCGACATCTGCACTGTTCTGGTCGACCTGAAAACAGCTTCAGTCTCTTGTTCTTTCCCTCTGTCTCTGTCTTTTCCACAGACACATTTGTGTGAAGTTAAAACACACAGTTTAGTCTGTGTTACGTTCACGTCTGATTGTCTAAATGGCGTCAGAAACATTGTCTGGACTCTTCAGATCTTTTCTCCATGTTACAGTTGTTTCTTCTCACCGACTTTGACCTGCAGATGAGCTCCTGTTTTCAGACTCACTTCTACTTTCTATTGAAACTAAAACATATTTTTTGTTTTCCTCAGGACATTTCTGCTCATGAAAGCAACATCCTGGGCTCCTTCTGCGACATGAATGTGAGTTTATCACACTGATCTTTCGCACGCTGTGGTTCTGCCTCTTTCTCTCTTTTCTCTGTCTCTGTCTCTGTGTCTCTCCTCCGTCAGACTCACCTCTCACTCTTTTCCTCTCTCACTCTCTTCTCTCTCTTCTGTCTGTTTTTCTTCCAGGACGTGGAGGTGCCTCTTCACTTGCTCCGTTACGTGTGTCTGTTCTGTGGTAAACACGGCCTCTCTCTGATGAAAGACTGTTTTGAGTTTGGGACCCCGGAGACTCTGCCCTTCCCCATCGCTCACGCCTTCATCACCATCGTGTCCAACGTGAGTCCACCACCAAACTCACACAATCTAGCGATCTCCCTGTACGAGATTTCTCCATGAACACGACGATAAACACGAACATTTTCCATAAATAGTACAAGAACATGACAGAAAACCGCAGTAGTTTCGTTAGAGGGGACGCGCGGTGATTGTGTTGTGATGGCGCTCTGAAGGGGGAGCGACTTAGCAGCAAAACCGTTAAGCTGTCGTTGCGGGAGATTATAGCATTTACAAAACAATAAAAAGAGCGAGGAACGGAGGAACGAACCGAAAAAGCAACGAGCGCGATGTGCGGCTTCTAGACACGACTGAACAACTGAGTCACTGCGAACACGCAGACAATCTGTTGGTCCCAGACACACCCTCCCTACACGGAAGTTAAAAAATGTAAAAAATGACCGATAACAATGGACAAAACTAAAATGCCGTTTACCAAGATTAGAATTTCTGTCGAGATGAACGGAAAACTGTGCTTAAAGACTGGTATTTTTGGAGCTTTCTCTCGTGTTTTAACGTTCCATCGTCTAAAAAAAACTGTCTGAAGAGGTTTTAGAGACATCCACACGTGTTTGAGTAATCTAGCGATCTCCCTGTACGAGATTTCTCCATAAACACGAAAATTTTCCATAAATAGTACAAGAACATGACAGAAAACCGCAGTAGTTTCGTTAGAGGGGACGCACGGTGATTGTGTTGTGATGGCGCTCTGAAGGGGGAGCGAGTTAGCAGCAAACAAACAAACAAAACCACTCACCCGTCCAACTGTTGTGTTTCCTTTAAAGTCCCACGAGGTTTATTTGTGAAAAAAGTTCGAAAATAGACCATTTACTGACTAATAGTGTGGAAAATACTGTAAAAATGTTAATGATTAATGGATAATCGATCATTAATTCTCCCGACGATTGATTAAGAACATTTAATTGAAAGTCCATCTCTAGTTTCTGTGTCTTTGGTCAAACTCTCTGTGTGTGTGTTTGTTTTTCACAGATCAGAATCTGGCTGCACATTCCCGCCGTGATGCAGCACATCATCCCCTTCAGGACCTTCGTCATCAGGTGAGGCTCAGACTCGACGACATCTCCAGACACTTCGCCCAAAACGATCAGAACGAGAGCAAATCTGTGTGGAGACGTGGGCCCTTTCAGACTTCACCAGAGGTTTTTCTGCAGCGCCGCTCTTTGCCCCGCCCCCGACAACTGTTGCTATGCTGTTTCTCAGGAGATTATGATGTTTTTAAGGATCAGCGCAACTTTTATATAAATTTCAAATCAAGCTCTATTCGCACGGGATTAGTTTGACCTGTGGACCTTTGGTGATTTGTAATAATTGCGGAGGATTCCTGAGATCTTAAACTTAAACAAAATGTCTGTAATTTATAAAGTAAAGTAAAAAATTATGCCGCAAATCTCCTACTATATTTCAGCAAACACACACGTCCGGTGATAATAATTGTCCAGTGTGAATCTGCATCTCGAATTTACGGACTTCGCGAACTTCTTCTCCGTGCGAATGTGCTGCAAGTAACACGGACGTCGCCAGGTTGTTCTTATCCCGTGCGAATAGGTCTTTAGATAAATATTGAATTTAATTATTTAGTATTTTAAACAACTTTGAAAATCCAGCCAATCACAGCGCAGGTGTCAGAAGGTCCTGTCAGAGCAAAGTTCTGCTCCTCGATCGACGTGTTGAGAACAGGAGCGGTGAGAACAAAATTATGTCCGTTCAAAATCAAACTCCAGGACCAGAACAGGATCATGAAGCTCAGGCTGATGACAGGAAAATTTAAACTTTTTATTTATTTATTTTTAATGTATTTATTTGTTTGATTGGGACAGAGCCTGTTAATGGACAAACATGACACAACATGAATGTAAACACACACCGGAGTGTCGGCTAAGACCAGTTTCCATCTGTTGTCCCAAAGGGTTCGAGCAGGGAAACTGTCCTGTGTTATTGAAATATCCCATAACTGAAAATCATTACAAAGCATCACGACAAAATATCTGTCTCAGGTCCTACGGAATTCACTATTTATTGAAATGACTTTTAAAACACTGAAAATTATTATTATTATTACTATTATTCAAGTCCAGCGGGCCAGATTAAAAAGATTAAAGGGCCCCATATGGCCCCCGGGCCGTAGTTTTGCCCACCCCTGGGCTAAAGTCACACACTCCACTCATTGCACAGTTCCCATTATTGCACTGTTCCCATTATTGGACAGTTCCCCTTTATTGCACACTCCTCTCATTACAGTTTCCGTTATTGCACATTTCCGATTATTGCACACTCCTCTCATTAGTTTCCATTATTGTACACTCTTCTCATGACACAATTCCCATTATTGCACACATCGTTCATTGCACAGTTCCCATTATTGCACTGTTCCCATTATTGGACAGTTCCCCTTTATTGCACACTCCTCTCATTACACAGTTCCCATTATTGCACACTCCTCTCATTAGTTTCCATTATTGCACAGTTCCCATTATTGCACACTCTTCTCATGACACAATTCCCATTATTGCACACGTCTTTCATTGCACAGTTCCCACTATTGCACACTCCTCTCATTAGTTTCCATTATTGCACACTCCACTAATTACACAGTTCCCATTATTACACAGTTCCCATTATTGCACAGTTCCCATTATTGCACAGTTCCCATTATTGCACACTCCACTCATTATTGCACAGTTCCCATTATTGCACAGTTCCCATTATTGCACAGTTCCCATTATTGCACAGTTCCCATTATTGTACACTCCACTCATTATTACACAGTTCCCATTATTGCACAGTTCCCATTATTGCACACTCCACTCATTATTACACAGTTCCCATTATTGCACAGTTCCCATTATTGCACACTCCACTCATTATTGCACAGTTCCCATTATTGCACAGTTCCCATTATTGCACACTCCACTCATTATTGCACAGTTCCATTATTGCACAGTTCCCATTATGCACATCCCATTATTGCACTCACTCATTATTACACAGTTCCCATTATTGCACAGTTCCCATTATTGCACACTCCACTCATTATTACACAGTTCCCATTATTGCACAGTTCCCATTATTGCACACTCCACTCATTATTGCACAGTTCCCATTATTGCACAGTTCCCATTATTGCACAGTTCCCATTATTGCACAGTTCCCATTATTGCACAGTTCCCATTATTGCACAGTTCCCATTATTGCAGTTCCCATTATTACACAGTTCCCATTATTGCACATTCATTATTGCACTCCACTCATTATTACACAGTTCCCATTATTGCACACTCCACCATTATTGCACACTCCACTCATTACACACGTCTCATAAAACATCCTCTTTAAATTAATTCTACTTTTTTTTTTCACAAGTTTCTCAAACTTTTTTCGGCGTGGTCTTTTGTTAATGTGTGCGCTGTGTCTCCATGGTAACCGCTGAACATTCCGCCATAGACATACACGTAGAGCACCCCCCGTGATGCGTGATGTCACCTCAGAGTGCCAGTAAATCGCCCCGTCGTCCTCGCCTCACAGTCGATCCGTGTTCGTGTGCAGTATTTGATCAAACCCCGGCCGCTCTGAAAAGGGTTAAAACCTGGAGCTCGGCAACATCTCTGCTCGGCGACGGAGCCGATTGGCCGCGGGTCGAGCGAGGAGACGGATGCTGCTGTCGCTGTTGCCGTGGAGACTGTAGCCACGGCAACGGCGGCTCTACCCGGCAACCGCCTCCTCAGATCAGCGACTCGGGCGTTTGGAGAAAGAGGAGACGGAGTGAAGTTGAGTGAGTCTCTGCGTAGCTCCAGGCACATTTGGTGTTTTTTTTTGTTTGTTTTTTGTTTTTTTGCAGCAGCAGTTTTCAGGTTTTACATGAGAACACACGACCATAACACGGGCCACTGTTGTCATGGGACTAAAATTTCAATACCGAGGAACAGACTCGATACCCGATACGATACTGATCCCACAATGATCATAAAAAAACACGCTTTCTTTAGACAACAGATTCTGATTTTCCACATTAAAATGGTAAAACTTTCTTTTATTTTCCCATGTGTCCTAGGTTCTGCCTGGAATGTTCCACAGTGTGACTTTAAACATCTCTACTTCACATTTATTCAATTACATTTGGTTTTCTAGCTCTAAAATACCTCGAAAAACAAACATTCTCCACAGATCTGACCTGTAACTCGGTCCGGTTTGGATTGATTGAAAGTTTTTAATGCCATACTGTGAAACATTCCAGGCAAAGCAACAACATCTCCACGGAGACAAGCGTTTGACGGACCCTCCACCAGAAAAGTTACACAGTGCACCTCACAAAACAACTTAGGCGACGTTCAGACCGCAGGGCTTAATGTTCACTTTGGATTTTTTTGTGAAATCTGATTTTTTTTTTTTTTTTGCGAGGTCGTTCACATTTTCGATTAAACGTGACTTGTGTGTGTGATCTCCAGTGTGAACTTTAAACGCTCCAAAAGTGTCATTGGACGACACGACGACGTCACACACACAGAGAGAGAGAGGCTGCTCAGGGTTTACGGAAGTCGCCTAAACTCTGAGCTCGTCTCACAAAACACGCTCCAGTTGTTGGTAAAATGTTCAGGTGATACGTCCTCGTCCGCTTCGTTTGTTTGTCTTTATCCTCCTCGTGTTTGTCTCGCAGGCTCTTTATTTGAATTTGAATTTATTTTGTTTGGAGGATAAGCCCCTTGAGAGTCTCGCCGTCTCGTTTTCGAGGGGGTCCTCATAAATACGACGACAAAACACAGATACAGTCGGACAGACAGTGGAATACAGAAATACAAATAAGCATCAAAACAACAAAATCAACACAAACACACACACACTCACGCTTGACTGTTTGACATATAATAAAACAAATTAGAAAAAAAATAAAATAAAAATAAATAAATAAATAAATAAATTTTTAAAACTTAAAACAATTAAAAGTAATATATTTTTTAATTAAGTTAAATAAAAAAATTAAATAAAAAAATTAATACAAATGTAAAATAAAAATATAAAATTAAATTAAATTAAATTAAAAAATTTAAAATAAATAAAATTAAATTAAAATTAAATAAAACAAAACAAAACAAATCAGAGTTCAAAGATAATCACTGAATACAACAAGTTGAAGAACAAAATTCAAAAAAAAATTATTAAAAACGATGACACGAGTTCTGTAAATATTGAACCAGAGCATTTTTAAATGAAGGGACAGAAGTTAAAGCAAGAATCGATGAGGGAAGATTGTTCCAATCAGAAGGAGCTTTATATTTAAATGAGTGTTTTCCTATTTGTTTTTTGACTCTTGGGACAACAAAAAATATCTGATCAGCGTGATTTTTTTGTTGACGTTGGAGCCAGGACCGTCTAAAAATAAAAAAACGCTCTGTTCTGATAAGTCTCCTCCAGTTTGTCCTGATCCCCCCGTATATAAATAAACTCTTTAACTTCGCTTTCCCTCCATTGACGAGACTCTGAGCCCGACGTGTAGGTGGGATGAATGTGACCTGACCGTTCAGACTGAAGTCACATGTCAAAAGATCATTTTAGGAGCACATATCCAAGTGTCCTGGGTTGGATTTGAAACGAGCGCAGTCAGAGACGTCAACCTGGTCCCCGTGAGGCGTCGCTTTTTCAGTTCACCAGCACAGAAGCAGTTTATGAGGAGTCCAGCTCATATCACATGATCATTATATCCACAATGTAATGTGTGTATGTGTACAGGCCCATGAACATGTGTGTGATATTGGTCACACATGACAGTGTCTGTGTTTACTAGTACTGTAGATCAGTGTGTGTGTATCACCAGAAAAACAAGAAATGGAAATTATTTTTGTTCCAAGTAGAATTTTAACGGCTACACTAAAAGAGGAAGGAACTGTTATAATTAGTGATTATCTGGAAAACTATTCACATTTGACTACACAAATGCATAGAATTATAAATAGATCATAATTTTTTCTGATATTTTGAGACACTCCCGTCGCTCGAACTCCATCCTTCGCGGAGTTACGACCAAAAACACATATTTGACCTTGGTGACCTTGACCGGTTTCAACCTGTAACCTCCAGTGTGCCCGGTTATGTGTGTGTCAACTCGTGTGACGATTGGGTGAATATTTTAGGCCGCAGATGGTTCAGAAATTGCCGAAATTGCCTAAATCCTTTATAATGGCCTGACCTTTCAATTGACCCGTGTGACCTCAAATGACCTCGGATCATCACCAAACTTTTTTTTTTGCGGCATCGGGCACGGGGGCTTGACCCATGTACCAAATTTGGTGACAATCGGTCCGTAAATGTCGGAATTATCACCAGTGGACACACACAGACACACAGGGTAAATACAAACCCCGGTCAACCCTTCAGGGACCAGGTAAAAATTGGTTCTGTGTGGTTCAGACTAAGGATGTTCATGATTAGTCGATGAATCGATAATTGATCATTAAGAATTTCGTCGATTACGTTCATTTTTAATCGACAAACCGAATGTAGGTTGCTGTGCGTAGTGTAGGGTGACTAAACATCCGTTTTTCCATGTCCTGTCCTGGCTGTCTGGGTTTTTTTTTTTTTTTTTATAAAGTGATGCAAATGTCCGGGTTTTCATGATCTTTCATTGGGTCCATTAAACTGAACGTCTCTCGTAGCGTCTGTGACTCAGAAGGAGCGAGACTCAAACAGTCGAACAGTCTGCAACATGCGCATTTAACGATGACTTGTACAAGAAATTCCCCGGTCGATTCAAGTGTGAGTCCAAGTGCACAGTGAACAAAGCAGCACATATGTAAAAAGTTCACCAGGACACAGAAAAACATTAAAAAGTTTTTCCAGGTGAGAGTCGCTCAATGTGGATGACGAGGCCCCGCCCCCCTCCCCCCGTACGCTGTCCTGGTTTTGACAAACACAAATCTGGTCACACTAACCTGTAAAGTTGAATTTATTTATGCAGATTAGTGCAGATAGTAATAATAAAGATGATAATTTTAATGTAAAAACGTTAAAGGTTGTATGGAGGATTTTTTTTTTGTTTCAAATTGTCAATGAAAGTTTAAAATACCATTATACAGACGCAGCAGCTTTGTAATTATGATGAACAAAAAAAAAAAAAGAATGAAAATCTATCAACTGTGGACGTAGTGAGGCCAGAGAAACATCAGCCAATAGAAAACGAGGCTCCCTCATTTTCTATTGGCTGTTATGTTGTCAATCAAACTCCCTAGTGTAACTGACTCGCCGTCGCGCTGGGATTACGTGGTTTATGCGGCGGTTCTTAGAGGCTTTTTTAAACTGTCGCTTCCTCGCAGTTCGCACAAAGTTTATTGCGACGGCGGACGAGAATCCACGACCGGTTCGCCGCAAGAGAAAGTCAGTTTTTGAGGTCGCTGAAAGAAGAAGAGAAGGAGAAAAAAAGGAGCAAAGCCAAACTGAGGTGATTCTTGGAGGTCTCTTCCAGCGACGGCGCGAATGAAGCAGACGAAGGGTCTAAAAACTGACACGTCGGTCGCTAAATTATTTCTAGGCAGGTCACTTTAACAGTAGTTCTGAACGCGCACCTGGCTGTAAACAAATGTGATTTCTAGAGTAAAGAGGCGGAAGGAGATGTTTCTACTGAGGAGCTGTGGAGGAGGAAGGTGGTGTCAGGGATGCGCAACATTTGAAAAAGGACTGTCGCTGTATTTCTCTTCCCTTTAAAAAATCCTCTATACAACCTTTAATGATTCTCGACGATCGATTAAGAAAATTTAATCGAATGCCCGTCCCTAGTTCAGACTGTCATTAAAAGATCAGATACAGGGACATGGGGGAAAAAAATCATTCTGAACAGTCTGAACGGAGACTTGGAAATATCAGATTTGTTTCATTTTATTCATTTTTATTATTCAAAACCTCTTCTCTCCTGTGTGTTTTTGTGTTTTATATCGTTGTATATGTTGTGTGTTTATTTTATTTATTTTTTTTTTTGCAGGTATCTGTGTAAACTGTCCGACCTGGAGCTGAGGCAGACGGCCGCTCGTAACATGGCCGACCTGATGTGGAGCACGGTGAAGGAGCCTCTGGACGCCGCGCTCTGCTTCGACAAAGAGAGTCTGGACCTGGCCTTCAAATACTTCATGTCCCCCACGCTGACCATGAGGCTCGCCGGACTCAGCCAGATCACAGTACGAACTCACAGCAGCAGCAGCAGCAGCAGCAGCAGCAGCAGGAGGAGGGTTTTAGTTGGAGGAGTTTTTGTAGTAGTGTTTTATTGTAGTTGTAGTAGTGGTTGTAGTATAAAACCTGGACCTGGCCTTCGAATACTTTATGTCCCCGACTCCAGAAACCAGATCACTGTATGTAGTAATAGTAGCAGCAGTAGGAGTATTTTAGTTGGAGGAGTTTTTGTTGTAGTAGTTGTAATAGTTGTAGTAGTTGTTAGTAGTTGTTGTAGTAGTTGTAGTTGTAGTAGTAGTAGTTAGTAGTAGTAGTAGTTGTAGTTGTAGTAGTAGTTGTAGTAGTAGTAGTAGTAGTAGTAGTAGTAGTAGTAGTAGTAGTAGTAGTAGTAGTAGTAGTAGTAGTAGTAGTAGTAGTAGTAGTAGTAGTAGTAGTAGTAGTAGTAGTAGTAGTAGTAGTAGTAGTGGTTGTAGTAGTAGTAGTAGTGGTTGTAGTAGTAGTAGTAGTAGTAGTGGTTAGTAGTAGTAGTTGTTGTAGTTGTAGTAGTAGTAGTTGTTGTTGTAGTTGTAGTAATTGTTGTAGTATTTGAAGTAGTAGTAGTAGTAGTAGTAGTAGTTGATTGTTGTCAGTAGTTGTGTCAGTTGTTGTTTGTAGTAGTAGTTGTAGTAGTAGTAGTGTTAGTAGTTGTAGTAGTAGTAGTAGTAGTTGTGTTGTTGTAAGTAGTTGTAGTAGTAGTAGTAGAAGTAGTTAGTAGTAGTGTAGTAGTAGTAGTAGTAGTGTTGTTGTAAGTAGTAGTAGAAGTAGTAGTAGTAGAGTAGTAGTAGTAGTAGTAGTAGTAGTTGTTGTTGAAGTAGTAAGTAGTAGTAAGTAGTAGTAGTAGTAGTAGTAGTAGTAATAGTTGTAGTTGTTTTAGTTGTTGTTGTAGTTTTAGTTGTAGTAGTTGTTATTGATTGTTGTCATCATTGTCGTCATAGTAGTAGTAGTAATAGTGGTAGTAGTAGTAATAATCTTTCAAAGTATTTTAAAGTATATTTTTGTGTTTTTCAGAACCAGCTTCACACTTTCAACGACGTCTGTAACAACGAGTCTCTGGTCTCTGACACTGAAACGTGAGGCTCTTTTTTTCTTATTTTCCTTTTTTCATTTCACACATTTTTAGTTCTAAGTATTATATTATTTTATCACATGTTTTAATATTTTCTTTCATTTTTTTTCCCTCCAGGTCGATAGCCAAAGAGCTCGCCGACTGGCTGATTCACAATAACGTCATCGAGCACATTTTTGGACCAAATTTGCACATCGAGGTGAAACTTTTACCTTTAAAACTCGAGTAAAGTGATCGAGTCTGATCTGACCGCTGTATTCCCTCTGTTTTCTCTGTTTTCCCTCTGTATTCCCTCTGTTTTCCCTCTGTATTCCCTCTGTTTTCCGTCTTTATTCCCTCTGTTTTCGCTGTGTGTTTTCAGATCATTAAGCAGTGCCAGGTGATCCTGAACTTTCTGGCGGCAGAGGGGCGTCTCAGCACTCAACACGTGGACTGTATCTGGGCGGCGGCGCAGGTGAAAAGAGCAGCTGTTGTCTCATATTTATATTGATATTGATTTCACTTTGTGGAAACCGTGTGACCTCGCAGTGTTAGGATTAATTCACTCAACAGTAGGCGGGGACTTTTTTATTTAACCAGTCGCTGCTGTTTGATCGTGACGTTTGTAATGCACCACTTACAGGACTCACTGGTATATTAAACTTTTCCCAAATCCCGTAGGAAGAAGGACAATAACGTCTTTCCCCTTGATAAAACTCACCAAACATTTTCTTTGTTCCGACTTTAAATCCTCGATCTCTGGAATCATTGCCAACACAGAATGTCTGGCTCTTCGCTGATTGGCTGGTGCCCAAACTCGCACTCGGGGTTTTTGTAAACCGTCTAGTGCAGACATGTCAAACTCAAATTCACATTGGGCCAAAATTAAAAACTGGGACTAAGTCATGGGCCAAACTAAATATTTATTGAAAAATTTCAACAACATCTGTATGTTTTTCTCTTCTTTCGACATATGTAATGTTAAACCTTTTAGAATAGTTTTAGTCTAGTGTTTTCTGATTCCTGACCTAGTCTCTGGAAAGAAATCAAATTGAGCGGAGACACTAGATGGCGCCAGACTGACTTGTCACGATCTGTATGTAGGTCTGAAATACACAGTTTTGACACATGAGAGCGAGTGAGTGAGTGAGTGAATCCTGTCTGTCCCGACCCAGTGTTTCTGCAGCTGAAGTTGAGCTTGCTCGATTGAAAAAAGTTATTATAATCATTTTATTGACTATATTTCTTGATTTGCTCCATTATTGCTGGTTCAGTTGAATGTTGAAAAGAAAAAGAAATGAGCTACTGTTTGTTTAATGTCCAAATACACGACGTCTGGATCCTTTTATCTCTGCTTCAAAACTGTTTTTCATTGTTTAAAACTTGATTAATACAAAGTGTTCATAGACACGATCACTCAGTCAACAATAAAACCTCCTCATTAATGTTCAATAATGATCATAGTGTTGTGGAGTAACAGATTACATGTACCAGAGGAATGTAATCAGATACAAATGATGAGTAACTGTATTCAGTTACAGTTACTGTTTCAGTGAGTGGTAATTGGATTACAGTTACTTTATTGAAATAAATGGATTACACAGCGGGATTTTCCTGTTTTCACATTTTGGGTTAAATCCCCCTTTTTTTTTTTTTTTCCGTAATTCCACTCATTGCCGGACATTAAACCAGTTCTAAAACCAGGTCTAAACTAGGTCTAAAACCAGGTCTAAAACCAGGTCTAAAACCAGGTCTAAAACCAGGTCTAAACCTAGGTCTAAACTAGGTCTAAACTAGGTCTAAAAACCAGGTCTAAAAAAACCAGGTCTAAACTAGGTCTAAACCAGGTCTAAACTAGGTCTAAACCAGGTCTAAACTAGGTCTAAACTAGGTCTAAACTAGGTCTAAAACCAGGTCTAAACTAGGTCTAAACTAGGTCTAAAACCAGGTCTAAAACTAGGTCTAAACTAGGTCTAAACTAGGTCTAAACTAGGGTCTAAACCAGGTCTAAAACTAGGTCTAAAACTAGGTCTAAACTAGGTCTAAAACCAGGTCTAAACAGGTCTAAAAGGTCTAAAACCAGGTCTAAAACCAGGTCTAAAACCAGGTTTAAAACCAGGTCTAACACTGGGTCTAAAACCAGGTCTAAAACTAGGTCTAAACTAGGTCTAAACCAGGTCTAAAACTAGGTCTAAACTAGGTCTAAACCAGGTCTAAACTAGGTCTAAACTAGGTCTAAACTAGGTCTAAACCAGGACTAAAACCAGGTCTAATACCAGGTTTAAAACCAGGTCTAAACTGGGTCTAAACCAGGTCTAAACCAGGTCTAAACTAGGTCTAAACTAGGTCTAAACCAAGACTAAACCAGGACTAAAACTAGGTCTAAACTAGGTCTAAACCAGGTCTAAACCAGGTCTAAACCAGGACTAGAACTAGGTCAAAAGCAGGACTAGAACTAGGTCTAAACCAGGTCTAAACCAGGTCTCAAACAGGATTTAACAGGACTAAATCCTGCTGTGTGGACGTGTTTCTTCGTTTTCTATCAATAATATTTTTAATTTGGTTAATTAAAATCTGGACTTTTTATTTTCTTTTATCAGACAAAACTTCTTATGTGAAGATTTCCTCGTCTTTGTTTCTCTACAGCAAATCAAGTAATCCAAAGTAATCAGATTACATTACTCACTTTAAGTAATTTAATGGATTCTGTTACAAACTACATTTTAGTGTGTGTAATCTGTAATCTGTAGGGGATTACATTTTAAAAGTAAACGTCTCTACTCTGCTCATATCCACCTTTACTTTGTGATTGATGAATAACGTCTATGGACTTGGGTCTAGGAGGTTTGTGACTTTTAAAATATGGGACCCAGAAAAAAAAAGTTTGGGAAACACTGGACTCGACTAAAGGTCAAAAAAACGGACTCTTGTGGAAGCTTCAAGTCAGGTTCTCATGTCGTTTCCTCCTCAAAAACACAGCTGGAGTCGTGTTTTGTTTCATTCACATGTTTGAGTGACTCTTTATTATCAGTCTGTTTACATCTACAAAGCTCAAGATGCTCTGTTGCACCTCGTGATGTCATGAAGTGGGAGTTTTCCAGTGAACGGTTTGAGGGAAGAACTCGGACTTAGATCTTTGGGTTTGTGTGTTAAACTAAACAAAACTCCAGGTCTGTTTGTGACATGAGAAGGTGACTTGAAGCGCGCAGGAGTCCGGTTTGTGATGTAGAAGCGTTAATATTCCGTCTCATTGTGTTTTTTTTTGTTTTGTTTTTGTTTCTGTTTTTGTGTTTCTGTTTCGTGTCCAGTTGAAGCACTGCAGTCGATACATTCACGACCTGTTTCCGTCTCTCATCAAAAACCTCGACCCGGTTCCTCTGAGACACGTCCTCAACCTGGTCTCTGGACTGCACCCCAGCGCCCACACGGAACAGGTACCACACACCGGGTTTAGGCCGGGTTTAGTCCTGGTTTTAGTCCTGGTTTAGTCCTGGTTTTAGTCCTGTTCTAGTCCTGGTGTAGTCCTGGTGTAGTCCTGGTTTAGACCTGTTTTAGACCTGTTTTAGTCCTGTTTTAGTCCTGGTTTAGACCTGTTTCAGTCCTGTTTCAGTCCTGTTTCAGTCCTGTTTCAGTCCTGTTTTAGTCCTGTTTCAGTCCTGTTTTAGTCCTGGTTTAGTCCTGGTTTAGTCCTGGTGTAGTCCTGGTGTAGTCCTGGTTTAGACCTGTTTTAGACCTGTTTTAGTCCTGGTTTAGTCCTGGTGTAGTCCTGGTGTAGACCTGGTGTAGTCCTGGTGTAGTCCTGGTGTAGTCCTGGTTTAGTCCTGGTTTAGTCCTGGTTTAGTCCTGGTTTAGTCCTGGTGTAGTCCTGGTTTAGTCCTGGTTTAGTCCTGGTTTAGACCTGGTGTAGTCCTGTTTTAGTCCTGGTGTAGTCCTGGTTTAGTCCTGGTTTAGTCCTGGTTTTAGACCTGTTAGTCCTGGTTTAGTCCTGGTGTAGTCCTGGTGTAGTCCTGGTTTAGTCCTGGTTTAGTCCTGTTCCTGGTTTAGTCCTGGTTTAGACCTGGTTTAGACCTGGTGTAGTCCTGTTTTAGTCCTGTTTTAGACCTGGTGTAGTCCTGGTTTAGTCCTGGTTTAGACCTGGTTTAGTCCTGGTTTAGTCCTGGTTTAGTCCTGTTTTAGTCCTGTTTTAGTCCTGTTTTAGACCTGGTGTAGTCCTGTTTTAGTCCTGTTTTAGTCCTGGTGTAGTCCTGGTTTAGTCCTGTTTTAGTCCTGTTTTAGTCCTGGTGTAGACCTGGTGTAGTCCTGGTGTAGTCCTGTAGTCCTGGTGTAGTCCTGGTGTTAGTCCTGGTGTAGTCCTGGTGTAGTCCTGTTTAGTCCTGGTTTAGTCCTGGTTTAGTCCTGTGTAGTCCTGGTGTAGTCCTGGTTTAGTCCTGGTTTAGTCCTGGTGTAGTCCTGGTTTAGTCCTGGTTTAGTCCTGTGTAGTCCTGGTTTAGTCCTGTTTTAGTCCTGTTTTAGTCCTGGTTTAGTCCTGGTTTAGACCTGGTGTAGTCCTGTTTCAGTCCTGGTTTAGTCCTGGTTTAGTCCTGGTTTTAGTCCTGGTTTAGTCCTGGTGTAGTCCTGGTTTACCTGGTTTAGTCCTGGTTTAGTCCTGTTTTAGTCCTGGTTTAGTCCTGGTTTAGTCCTGGTTTAGTCCTGGTTTTAGTCCTGGTGTAGTCCTGGTTTAGTCCTGGTTTAGTCCTGGTGTAGTCCTGGTTTAGTCCTGGTTTAGTCTTGTTTTAGTCCTGGTTTAGTCCTGGTTTAACCCGGTCTTTCTCCAGACCCTGTACTTGGCGTCGATGCTGATTAAAGCTTTGTGGAACAACGCTTTGGCGGCGAAGGCTCAACTCTCCAAACAGAGCTCGTTCGCTTCTCTGCTCAACACCAGCCTCCCCATGAACAAGAAAGGTACGACCCCGCCCACGCCTGCGCCTAAAGACGCACTGCGGGACATTTCTGAGAGGGTCCTGTCCCCATACCAACACTTCAAACTCAATGTCCATACTGATTCCAATTCAACAACAATAAAAAACCCTCTTTCTTTAGACAATATACTCTGATTTTCCACTTTAAAACTAAAAGTATCACATGAAAAAGTTTATTTAAGTAAAAGTTTTCAAGTACGTGTTTTACTTTTTACTCTTAAGTACATTTTTAAAGTATTTTACACAGTTTGGGATCTAATAAATCTGTCTAATTATTATTTTTTTTTTACTTAAAGGTTGTATCGAGGATTTTTTTTTTTTTTGAGTTTCAAATTGTCAAGGAAAGTTTAAAATACTGTTCTAGAGATGCAGCAAAAAAAAAAAAAAAAAAAAAAGAATGAAAATCTATCAACTGTGGATGTAGTGAGGCCAGATAAACATCAGCCAATAAATAACGAGACTACCTCATTGTCTATTGGCTGTTAGGTCGTCAATCAAACTCCCTACGTTTCTAGTGTAACTGACTCGCCGGCGCGCGGGGATTACGTGGTTTATGCGGCGGTACAAAGTTTGTCGAGACGGCGGGCGAGAATCCACGACCAGTTCGCCGCAAAAGAACGTCCGTTTCTGATTTCGCTGAAAGAAGAAGAGACGGGGAAAAGGAGCGAAGCCGAACCGAGGTGATTCTTGGAGATTCCTTCCAGCGATGGCGCGACCGAAGCAGACGAAGGGTCTAAAAACTGACGCGTCGGTCGCTAAATTATTTCTAGATAATGTAAACAAGCGTGATTTCTAGAGTAAAGAGGCGGGAGGAGGTGTTTCTACTGAGGAAGGTGGTGTCACGAATGCGCAACATTTGAAAAAGAAGTGTCGCTGGATTTCGCTTCCCTTAAAAAATCCTCTATACAACCTTTAAGTACAGTACTTTACTACGTTTACTTTATTATGTTCCACCACTGATTGTAGTCTCTCCAGATCATTCTAAAAACATTCAGGAATTTTGTCAATTTAAAAAAAAATTTTTAGTATCGATACCTGCGAAAAATGAGGATCTAGTTTTGGTTCCAGGTTCGTTCTTAGTGTCTGGTTCTTGATCCTTAGTCCTGTTATAAATGCAGTGTTTTGTAGAGATTTTGTTTTAACGTGTGTCATGTGTCGTGTGTGTGTGTGTGTGTGTGTGTCGTGTGTGTGTGTGTGTGTGTGTGTGTGTGTGTGTGTGTGTGTGTGTGTGTGTGTGTGTGTGTGTGTGTGTGTGTGTGTGTGTGTGTGTGTGTGTCGTGTGTGTGTGTGTGTCGTGTGTGTGTGTGTGTGTGTGTGTGTGTGTGTGTGTGTGTGTGTGTGTGTGTGTGTGTCGTGTGTGTGTGTGTGTGTGTGTGTGTGTGTGTGTGTGTGTGTGTGTGTGTGTGTGTGTGTGTGTGTGTGTGTGTGTGTGTGTGTGTGTGTGTGTGTGTGTGTGTGTGTGTGTGTGTGTGTGTGTGTGTGTGTGTGTGTGTGTGTGTGTGTGTGTGTGTGTGTGTGTGTGTGTGTGTGTGTGTGTGTGTGTGTGTGTGTGTGTGTGTGTGTGTGTGTGTGTGTGTGTGTGTGTGTGTGTGTGTGTGTGTGTGTGTGTGTGTGTGTGTGTGTGTGTGTGTGTCGTGTGTGTGTGTGTGTGTGTGTGTGTGTGTGTGTGTGTGTGTGTGTGTGTGTGTGTGTGTCATGTGTGTGTGTCGTGTGTGTGTGTGTGTGTGTGTGTGTGTGTGTGTGTGTGTGTGTGTGTGTGTCGGGGTGTGTGTGTGTGTGTGTGTGTGTGTGTGTGTGTGTGTGTGTGTGTGTGTGTGTGTGTGTGTGTGTGTGTGTGTGTGTGTGTTGTGTGTGTGTGTGTGTGTGTGTGTGTGTGTGGTGTGTGTGTGTGTGTTGTCGTGTGGTTCATTGTGTGTGTGTGTGTGTGTGTGTGTGTGTGTGTGTGTGTGTGTGTGTGTGTGTGTGTGTGTGTGGTGTGTGTGTGTGTGTGTGTGTGTGTGTGTGTGTGTGTGTGTGTGTGTGTGTGTGTGTGTGTGTGTGTGTGTGTGTGTGTGTGTGTGTGGTGGTGCGTGTGTGTGGTGGTGCGTTCAGGGTCTCCGGCTGCCAGTCCAGACAGCAGTGATAACAGTGACACTCAGCACAGCGGAGGCTCCGACATCGAGATGGACGATCCTGTGATGAGCAGCAAACGCACCCAACAAAGACTCTCCGACACAGAGGTGAACAGACTCACTCAGGGACTGGACACGGTCTGGTTTAGTCCTGGTTTACCTGGTTTACACCTGGTTTACACCTGGTTTACACCTGGTTTACACCTGGTTTACACCTGGTTTAGACCTGGTTTACACCTGGTTTACACCTGGTTTACACCTGGTTTAGACCTGGTTTACACCTGGTTTACACCTGGTTTACTGGTTTAGGCCTGGTTTGGCCTGGTTTAGCCTGGTTTACGCCTGGTTTAGGCCTGGTTTACACCTGGTTTAGGCCTGGTTTTAGGCCTGGTTTAGGCCTGGTTTTAGGCCTGGTTTAGACCTGGTTTACCTGGTTTACCTGGTTTACACTGGTTTAGACCTGGTTTACACCTGGTTTACACCTGGTTTAGTCCTGGTTTGGACCTGGTTTAGTCCTGGTTTACTCCTGGTTTACACCTGGTTTAGTCCTGGTTTTTTACACCTGGTTTACACCTGGTTTACACCTGGTTTAGACCTGGTTTACACCTGGTTTACACCTGGTTTACACCTGGTTTAGACCTGGTTTACACCTGGTTTACACCTGGTTTACACCTGGTTACACCTGGTCTAGACCTGGTTTACACCTGGTTTACACCTGGTTTAGACCTGGTTTACACCTGGTTTACACCTGGTTTACACCTGGTTTACACCTGGTTTACACCTGGTTTAGACCTGGTTTAGACCTGATTTGGACCTGATTTGGACCTGGTTTGGACCTGGTTTAGACCTGGTTTACACCTGGTTTACACCTGGTTTACACCTGGTTTAGACCTTGTTTAGACCTGGTTTGGACCTGGTTTAGACCTGGTTTAGACCTGGTTTAGACCTGGTTTAGTCCTGGTTTAGACCTGGGAGGTGTTACATGAAGCGAGTCTGACTTATTTGGTCAGTCCAGGATTATCAAAGCCTCAGTTCCACCAAAGTGACTGACCAGAGGTGACCTGAGGTGACCTGAGGTGACCTGAGGTGACCTGAGCTGTCACAGTAACCCAGAACAATTTAAAGAACATTTAAGAAACAGTTTAGTCCAAAGTTTCAGCACACACACTAGAACACGAGAACACACACCTGTGTGTGTGTGTGAGAGCACACACCTGTGTGTGTGTGTGAGGGGTCAGAGTGTGTGTATGTGAGGGGTCAGGGGTCAGGGGTCAGTGTGTGTGTTGTGAGGGGTCAGGGGTCAGAGTGTGTGTTGTGAGGGGTCAGGGGGTCAGGGGTAGTGTGTGAGGGCTGTGAGGGGTCAGGGGTTCAGAGTGTGTGTTGTGAGGGGTCAGGGGTCAGAGTGTGTGTGTGTGAGGGGAGGGGTCAGGGGTCAGAGTGTGTGTTGTGAGGGGTCAGGGGTCAGAGTGTGTGTTGTGAGGGGTCAGGGGTCAGTGTGTGTGCTGTGAGGGGTCCAGTGGGTTCAGAGTGTGTGTGTTGTGAGGGGTCAGGGGTCAGAGTGTGTGTTGTGAGGGGTCAGGGGTCAGGGTCAGAGTGTGTGTTGTGAGGGGTCAGGGTCAGTGTGTGTGTTGTGAGGGTCAGGGGTCAGAGTGTGTGCTGTGAGGGGTCAGGGGTTTAGTCCTAGTTCAGTCCAAGTGTAGTCCAAGTGTACTCCTGGTTTAGTCCTGGTTTAGTCTTGGTTTAGTCCTTGGTTTAGTCCTGTTTAGTCCTGGTTTAGTCCTGGTTTAGTCTTGGTTTGGTTTAGTCCTGGTTTAGTCCTGGTTTAGTCCTGGTTTAGTCCTGGTTTAGTCTTGGTTTAGTCCTGGTTAGTCTTGGTTTAGTCCTGGTTTAGTCTTGGTTTAGTCCTGGTTTAGTCTTGGTTTAGGTTTAGTCCTGGTTTAGTCCTGGTTTAGTCTGGTTTAGTCTGGTTTAGTCTGGTTTAGTCTTGGTTTAGACCTTGTTTAGTCTGGTTTAGTCCTGGTTTAGTCCTGGTTTAGTCTTGGTTTGTCCTGGTTTAGTGGTTTAGTCTGGTTTAGTCCTGGTTTAGTCCTGGTTTAGTCTTGGTTTAGTCCTGGTTTAGTCCTGGGTTTAGTCCTGGTTTAGTCCTGGTTTAGTCCTGGTTTAGTCCTGGTTTAGTCCTGGTTTAGTCCTGGTTTAGTCCTGGTTTAGTCTTGGTTTAGACCTTGTTTAGTCCTGGTTTAGTCCTGGTTTAGTCTTGGTTTTAGTCTGGTTTAGTCTTGGTTTAGACCTGGTTTAGTCCTGGTTTAGTCCTGGTTTAGTTTGGACCTTGGTTTAGTCCTGGGTTAGTCCTGGTTTAGTCTGGTTTAGTCTGGTTTAGTCTTGGTTTAGACCTTGTTTAGTCTTGGTTTAGTCCTGGTTTTAGTCTTGGTTTAGTCCTTGGTTTAGTCTTGTTTAGTCTGTTTAGTCCTTGGTTTAGTCTTGGTTTAGTCCTGGTTTTAGTCCTGGTTTAGTCCTGGTTTAGTCCTGGTTTAGTCCTGGTTTAGTCCTGGTTTAGTTTGGTTTAGACCTTGTTTAGTCCTGGTTTAGTCTGGTTTAGTCCTGGTTTAGTCTTGGTTTAGTCCTGGTTTAGTCCTGGTTTAGTCTTGGTTTAGTCCTGGTTTAGTCTGGTTTAGTCCTGGTTTAGTCCTGTTTAGTCCTGGTTTAGTTTATCCTGGTTTAGTCCTGTTTAGTCTTGGTTAGTCCTGGGTTTAGTCTTGGTTTAGTCCTGGTTTAGTCCTGGTTTAGTCCTGGTTTAGTCCTGGTTTAGTCTTGGTTTAGTCCTGGTTTAGTTTAGTCCTGGTTTTAGTCTTGGTTTAGTCTGGTTTAGTCCTGGTTTAGTCCTGGTTTAGTCCTGGTTTAGTCCTGGTTTAGTCTTGGTTTAGACCTGTTTAGTTTAGTCCTGGTTTAGTCTTGGTTTAGTCCTGGTTTAGTCCTTGGTTTAGTCCTGTTTAGTCCTGGTTTAGTCCTGGTTTAGTCCTGGTTTAGTCCTGGTTTAGTCCTGGTTTAGTTTAGTCCTGGTTTAGTCCTGGTTTAGTCCTGGTTTAGACCTTGTTTAGTCCTGGTTTAGTCCTGGTTTAGTCCCTTGGTTTAGTCCTGGTTTTAGTCCTGGTTTCCTGGTTTAGTCTTGGTTTTCCTGGTTTAGTCCTGGTTTAGTCTTGGTTTAGACCTTGTTTAGTCCTGGGTTAGTCCTGGTTTGTTTTCATTTATTTCCTGTGGTTTTCACTCGTGTCGTCGTGCGTCAGGAGTCGATGCAGGGCAGCTCGGACGAGACGGCGAACAGCGTGGAGGAGGGCAGCAGCAGCGGACGCAGCGAAGCCTCCAGCAACGAAGCGGCGTCCAGCAGAGCCAGCCAATCAGCAGCCAGCCCCGGGAGCGACATCCAATCAGACGACATGAACGACTCCGAGGCTCTGAAGGAGGAAGAGGAGGAGGAGGACGAGGAGGAGGTCAGACGCTGCACTGTCTCTGTGGAGTCCTGGTTTAGACCTGGTTTAGTCCTGGTTTAGTCCTGGTTTAGTTCTCGTTTAGTCCTGGTTTAGACCTGGTTCGGTCCTGGTTCGGTCCCTTTTCTGTCCTGGTTCAGTCTTGGTTTGGTCCTGATTTAGTCCTGGTTCGGTCTTGGTTCGGTCCTGGTTTAGTCCTGGTTTAGTCCTGGCTTAATCTTGGTTTAGTCCTGATTTGGTCCTGGTTTAGTCCTGGTTCAGTCCTGGTTCGGTTCTGGTTCAGTCTTGGTTCGGTCTTGGTTCGGTCCTGGTCTAGTCCTGGTCTAGTCCTGGTCTAGTCCTGGTCTAGTCCTGGTCTAGTCCTGGTTTAGTTCTTGTTTAGTCCTGTCTTAATCTTGGTTTAGTCCTGGTTTAGTCCTGGTTCGGTCTTGGTTTAGTCCTGGATTAGACCTGGTTTAGTCTTGATTTAGTTCTTGTTATATTAGTACTAGTTCTGGTTTAGTCCCCCATTTTAGTCCGGTTATAGTCCTGGTTTAAGACTTCATTTTACTTTTGGTCTAGTCCTGGTCTAGTTTTGGTTTAGCCCTTGTTTAAGTCCTCATTCTGGTCTGGGTTAGTCCTGGTTGTAGTCCCAGTTTAGTTCTCAGTTAGGAGTTTAGTTCTACTTTTAGGTTCAGGTCTTACTTTAGTCCTGGTTTAGTCCCGGTTTAGGCCCGGTTTAGTCCTGGTTCAGACCTGGTTCAGTCCTCATTTAGTTCAGGTTCTGCCCTATATTAGTCCTGGTTTAGTCCTGGTCTAGTCCTGATTGGACCTGGTTCAGTCCCGTTTTAGCCCTGTTTTTAGTCCCCGGTTTAGTCCTGGTTAGTCTGGTTAGTCCGTTTAGTCCTGGTTTAGTCCTGGTTTAGTCCTGGTTTAGTCCTGGTTTAGACCTGGTTTAGTCCTGGTTTAGTCCTGGTTTAGTCCTGGTTTAGTCCTGGTTTAGTCCTGGTTTAGACCTGGTTTAGACCTGGTTTAGTCCTGGTTTAGACCTGGTTTAGTCCTGGTTTAGTTCCTGGTTTAGACCTGGTTTAGTCCTGGTTTAGTCCTGGTTTAGTCCTTGGTTTAGACCTGGTTTAGTCCTGGTTTTAGACCTGGTTTACCTGGTTTAGACCTGGTTTAGTCCTGGTTTACTGGTTTCCTGGTTTAGACCTGGTTTAGTCCTGGTTAGTCCTTGTTTTGGTTTAGACCTGGTTTAGACCTGGTTTAGTCCTGGTTTAGTCCTGGAGTTCCTGGTTTAGTGGTTTAGACCTGGTTTAGACCTGGTTTAGTCCTGGTTTAGTCCTGGTTTAGTCCTGGTTTAGTCCTGGTTTAGACCTGGTTTCAGTCCTGGTTTAGTCCTGGTTGAGTTCTTGGTTTAGACCTGGTTTAGTCCTGGTTTAGTCCTGGTTGAGTTCTTGTTTAGACCTGGTTTAGTCCTGGTTTTTATTTCTTTTTATTTTTGTTTTTATTTCTTTTTGTTTTATTTCTTTTTAGTTTTTTTTTTTTTTGTTTTTATTTCTTTTTTGTTTTTATTTCTTTTTTGTTTTTATTGTTGTATTTTTTTGACAGTGCCCACCCGAGA